AAATTGATACCGTTTAGCTCTCTAATGAGACGGGTTTATGACCCTGCCTCTCGAAGCCCACCCGGACTAAGAGGGATACAACGTCCCAGCAAAAAAGATCAGTATACTCGATTTGAAATTTCTCCCCACTCTAGAATAAATCTCGTGTCTCCTGCGTGCGACAGCAAAGCGTCTAACCGTTACACCACAGACGTACATAGCCGTCCTTTTAAAAATCTAAGTAACGTCGCGGTGCGGACTACTTGAAAGGACCATGGATATTAATCAAATTAATAATTTAATTTAACATTAAATGACGAGCGTGTGACATTAGAGGGGAAATAACTGGAATTATTTTTCTAACAATGTCGTAATGGTACAACTACTTCCCTTAATCGTAGATATGCGCAGCTTGCTGGCTTTTCTCTTGGTTTCAGCACTGAATTCTTCTTCGTGAAGCCCCCTACGACTTGCCGCCCACTGTGACTGCTGCTCTCCAAAAGAGTCTGTCAGGAGCTAGGCTATCCTTTTTCATTAGATTTTCGTTGAAGTGCTTCAGATATATTTTCAGAGTGTGTTTTTAGCGCTTTTTTGTCTAGGATAATATCATAATGCTATTCTATGCTGGAACGAGTCATCCCCATCTCACACCCAAACGCGATCAGCGTCATTGACACTTCATTAAAAGTGTGATTTTTTAAATCAATTATTTTTTTTAGACGTGCAAAGATGCACTGATGAATGGCATCAGTGGTGTGGTGCTTAGACGCCTCGCTGTCGCACGCAGACGACCAGAGTTCGATTCCCATGTAAGGAAAATGTTTCTCGAGTATCCTGGTCTGTTGTGTACCTCTTAGCTCAGGGTGGCTCCGCTGGGCAGGGTCATAAACTTGGCTCTTAATGAGCCAAACTGTACCTACGGGGTGAATAAAAACAGTTATATTATTTTCAATTCTGTTAAGAATGGGTGGTTGTGTATGAAAACAGTCAAGGTGGACGTGGAGTTTGGGTTTTGGATCAAGGCGGAACTGGGAGTTGATGTTTTAATCAGTCGACTCCTTAACTAGAAGTTACGGTGGCAGCTTTTGCTTAGATTTGAATGAAATGTAGCAAGGCTTTCCTAGTACATGTATGCTACTTTTTGAAAGATGTTTTTATTTACAGGATAACCCATTTTCTGTCATTATTTTTGTTACCAGCCCCACCATCAAGAAGACAACAGTTGTAAAAACAACAATAATAACAACAATAATAACAACAAAAACAACAGCAGCAACAACAATAACGACTCCTCACGATGGCACTGACGACAATAACAATGACAATGACAACGACAATGCAAACAACAGCTGCAACAGAAGTAGCAGCAGCAGCAACGGCAGAAGCAACAGCAGCAGCTGTAAATTGTTCTGCCTTTAAAATGACACATTTTGTCTCTATAGTGAGTAACGACATCAACACAAATCACAACAACAGCTACAGCAACAACCAAGAAATAACAACAACAGCAACTGCAGCGACCAAAACACAGCAACAACAGCAGCAGCAACAACAACAACAACAACAACAACAACAACAACAACAACAACAACAGTAACAACAACAGCAACAACATCAACGAAAGCAACAGCAACAATAACTACATCAGCCATAGAAGAAACAACAAACAGCAACCACAAACAACAGCAACAACAACAACTACAACAACAGCAACCGCAACAACCACAAAGAACAGCAACAACAACTACAACACCCACTGCAGAAACAACAAAAGCAACCACCAAATTAACAGCAACAATAACAACAACAAAAACCACTGTAAAAAAACAATAACAGCACAAAAAACATAAAAGACAACTATAACAGCAACAAATAAAAACACGAGAAAAACAATAATAACAGCAACAAAAAACACCACGACAAAAAATCGACAATAATAGCAAAAGGAAAAACAAAGAGCGTCACAAAAAGAAATAACAGTAGCAACAACCACTATACAATGACACTGCCCATGACTAACATAGTAGGCGCACTTTCCACTTTCTAACAGGTAAACGTGAGAAAAGTGACACCTGCTGTCTCAAACCTTTGCTGTGCTCAACAAAATAGTGTACCCACTGGAGTTGGAGCGAACCCTTCATCTACAAAGACCCACTGGGCGTGACCCTCTCCACAACAAAGCGCCGCCCAGTGGAATGACCTCAACTCATTATGACGTAATAGAAATTTCCCTTTCTCGGGTACCGTTTTTATCTACTTGTCGGAGAACATATTGTTATGTGAGACGTCGTTGTGAAATCAGGCGCTCGTCAAAATAATGAAATCAAAGAAATCAGCATTTTTTGGCGATAAGCAACTTTTTTTTTCTAATTTTCCTTTTTTGGCTCAACACCTTTTATCATGTTCATTTAAGAACACATATTTGTGAAAAACATTTATTTAAAGGCTTTAAAAAATGCAAATTTTCAGGCTGTGGAAGTTACCAATTAACCAAAAAAAGAAGGTAAATAAACAGGCTTAAAGATGATGCCAGTAACCGCATAGATCTATACCCAAAAATTGAAAAAAGTACCCGATTCCACCACGTCATGACACATATGGCATCGCCGGCAAGCTGTTATAATGTACTAAATCCAGAAAGCCCATTTGTTTTTTGTTGTCTGTCTGTCTGTCTGTCTGTCTGTCTGTCTGCCTGTCTGTCTGTCTCTCTCTCTCTCTCTC